GAAAGCATCGTCGGGAGGAGACGTGTTTCGTGCGTGCCAGGCACGTAACACCTTCATCTGCCTGGGCTGAGTCCGACGACCAGTCCGAATATTTTACCTGGCAATGGCGGGATCGAAGGCGCCAGATCGGTAGGGGGGAATGATCGCGCGAGCCTGGGAAAAACGCCCACCCAGGACTCTTGGTCCTTGTATAAGATCATCGATTCGAGAACGTGACGTCAACTTCGTGGACGCGGATTTTGTGTGACTTGAATTTTTCGGAAACGCGAGGAATAAAAAAAATTTTTATGTTAACTAAACTCACATCTTTTTGCTTAAACTAAAATAAATTAAAACTAAATTTTACTAGGTATTAACTTTATAAATATTACTTAAATATTAAACATAAAATGAGACTTTAGAAGATTCAATTAAGATATATCCATATTCTCTGTATCTCAGAAATTGCAATATACATAGGTCTATATAGATGAAGAAAGAATTTTATTAGATTGACATGACGTAATTTGTAGTCATTAAAACAGTTTAACTAATGATCTATCGTGTTTTATAATCAGTCATAATAATCATGGAACAAGACTCAAATCTATTCGCAACGTCTTTCATCAACGCGAAAAGTTTAGTAGAAATCTACTTTCTCTGTTTTGTGACTTTGCCATCCCGGATATTGAAAGTTTCGACAACCGATTGAGCGATATGTTCACCTTCTCGAAGGACTATGCTTTATTAAGCACGAATGAACTACAAAAAATTCCATAACGTTCTGAACTTTTAATAAAGAGAGTTGTGATTAGAGTTTTACGTTTAAACTTTGCACTTTTAAAGCTTTCTCCCATAGAATGGACCGAAACGACACGAACGTGCAGAGATATTTTATCGTCTAGACGAATAAAAATTAATGGGTTTTTAATAAGCCCATATTCCAAAAACGAATGGTCTATTTTCTCAAAAATTATTTGGATTTTATATAATTTTTCTATCATTATTTAAATTTTTTTATGTCTGTTAAATTCTTTAAATCTTGTTAAAAAGAAAGAGAAAAAAATTATTTAGGAATAAATATTAAAATATACAATATTATCATTAATTTAATATCGTATTACTTTGCATTATTACTGTAAATACTATTTATCCGGATATTATCAGATTATTATATTATTGTCATTAATCATAGCTGGATATCGTAAAATAGTAATTATTAATTATAAGCTAAAACGTTCGAGAGAGTATCTCTCTCTCTCTCTCTCTCTCTCTCTCTCTCTCTCTCTCTCTCTCTCTCTCTCTCGTCTACTC